TGGAAGGCGGCTGGAGGACAGAGGCAGGCGAAGAGAGCAAAAGATGTGACGAGAGTGGGATTCGAACCCACGCCTCCGAAGAGACCAGAGCCTTAATCTGGCGCCTTAGACCAACTCGGCCATCTCGCCGCCGATGAAATTTGGTCCATTGCAGCTCACCTCACATACATCTCCTATTTGACACAAGTTTGTTATTTGCAGCCACGAGCGAGCGATTCCAGCCTGCTCTCTCCTCTTCCATTTGGATCCGACTCCGAGTCAGACTCAGAGTTGAAAGTGGCTTCTCTCCTTCGCGGCTCTCGGCTCTCATTGTGCAGCCACTGTTTAACAATAGAGTTGCGATCTTTAAGACGGCATGGTTATCTCGACATAATTTGGTATACATACCAGACAATTGTTGCATACGGTAAAATTGGTATTCGAAGAGGAATGTAGTTGATTAATAGATACAACTGTGGGACCAATTAACGACGAACTAAAGTGCTATGTGTGGGGAACTTGAGAAAACCGAAACTATAAAATATAAATATCGAGGACACGAATGCCGTTGACGATGAAAGTGTCTATTGCTGTGATACAGTGTGGATAGTGAAGCCGATTCATCGATTTTATTCGCGTTTGTTTTGTTTGGCTTGCCACGAAAGGGGGTGACTGGTTTGTTCCTTCTGATCTCAACTACTCGACTGAAGATTGACCACTACCAACAACAACAACAGAACAGAACAGAACAGCTGATCTACCCAACCAGCCAGCCAGCCAGCCATGTCGACCGTGAAGATCAAGACAGAGCCAAAAACAGCAACAACAGCAGCAGCAGTTGTAGACGTGCAGGTCAAGCTTGAACCGAGTCTGTCTACGGCTGATATCAAACTCGAACAGCACTCTTCAGATCTTGACACCAAAGTTGAGCCTGATTCGGAAGCTGACAGTGAAGAAGGTGAAGATACCGATGGAGACACCGAGCAGAACCAGTTCACAATAACTCCCAGGAAGCAGCGACAGTTCATTTGTAAACATCCTGGATGTGGTCATCGTTTCAAAACCACCAGCAGTCTGAACATGCACCGATATGAGCACAGACTCCAAGCAGATATCATTATTTTTGGAAAGACTTACACTCTGACTCGGCAGTCGTTAAATAGTCGATGGGCATGTCCTATTCCGGATTGCACTTTGACATACATATCCGTTAATGTTGTACGAACACATATTCAGACAACTCATGGTAACACTGTAAAACAGCAACAAGACCAGCAGCCTCCAGCTCAACTGATTAGGCCGAATCATTATTTCGTTGGTGTGGATAATTTTTATGTGAAGGATGTTCGCTGTGGCTATCACAATACTGCTGGAGTGTTTATATGTCATGAATGTCGGTTGGTACCAGAGTGTTTGCTGGCTCACTTAAAACAGAAACATGGATATGGTGAGAAATTGATTGACACTTCTGCTCTGCCGGAAAGTGCAGTCAATATAAGTGCAGATCCCAATGGAAACCAGCACACCAGCAATTCACATCTCGCAGCAGCAATCAGTAATCCATATCAACAGCAGCAGCATCAGGATGTAGTTCAAGGCTGGCTGTGTGCCGCAGCTAATTGTGGTTATTGTAGCTACACAGCTCAAAATAAAGTCTATCACAAAAGAATGCATCATGGTGAACAAATATCGACAGTTCCTGCACTCGCATTGCGACTTAGTTCATCGAAAACACACACTTCATGCTTTCTCATTACTCGCATAGATCAGGCAAGCGGTGCTGTCACAGCCAGTAGTAACAAAGTGAGTCGACGCAACCTCAACTACAGCCACAATGAATTGAACTCTCAAGATGAGAATGGAGATGATGTTAGCCAGAGTGAGACTGCAGAGCAGTCCAATCAGAGGCGACAATGGGTGTGTGAATATGAGGATTGCAGGAGATTCTTCAACTCGGCTGCTCACCTTAGCGAGCATCGACGTGAACACAAGCTTGAAGTTGAAATCGTTATACTTGGTAAGACATTTACTCTTACTAGGCAGTCTTCAGAGGATCGATGGGCATGTCCAGTTCCAGATTGTGAATCTACATGCAAAACAGTTTGTACTTCTCGCATGCACATTCAATACGTCCATTGCCAATCGTTAAAACAGAGACGTGCTAATATGGAGGAAGACGACAGTCAGCAGCAGCCAACTATCAAGAGGAGACAGCGTGCCATGAACTATTTAAATGTGAATGATTTCTATATTAGTGGTACTAAATGTGGCTATCATAATGCTATTGGAGCGTTTATGTGCTATAGTTGTCGATTGATACCAGAATGCCTTCTCATGCACTTGCAGCAGAAGCATGAATACGATGAGAAATCAATTGATAATGCCTTTTTACCAGAAGGTGCTCGGATTGCTGGAAGTGACCCCAATGGAAACCAGCACGTCAGCAACCAACACCTCGCATCAGTAATTTGCAAAACAGATCAACTACAGCATCCAGACGTTGTCCAAGGTTGGTTGTGTATTAAACCTGATTGTGGATTTTGTTATCCCAATAAAAAGACTATAAATGAACACCAATGTAGAGAACATAAAGGCGAACAACAGGTGACAGTTCCTGCTCTCGTATTGCGATTACTTTATGGGAAAACACAGTCTTCATACTTCCTCATCACTCGGCTAGACACAATCACCAGCAGTACCAAGCCAGCTAACTCTGCGAGTCAGCATAATAACGAGTGTGACGACGAAGATGGCGATGAGTTAGTGCTGAGTGATTACAGTGATTAAGACAATATTCATTGGTCAGGAATAGTCAGAGTGTATGCAGAACCTTAAACGCCACAAGCTAACATTCATAAGATGACACTACCATATGCCCCGAGAGTTGAATAGCTCGCATTTTGCAGTTTGAACGTATTCTAATTTTTATTATTGTAGTGTAGTGCAGCAAGTCGAGTGTATGTAATTATCACAGCAAGAATTGTGTGCGGCTCAAATGTCTCTCTCATAATATCTTTAATTTTTTTTAACACCTCAGGTACATGTTCGCAGCTTTGTGCACAGCCAGTATGGCATAAATGCACGACAATAAAAAGTGAGGAAAAGGTAATGGATATTCCAAGAGAAGGAGGAAAACTGAAGAAAGCAGAGCGTCGTGGCGCAGCGGCTAGCGTGTTGGGCTCATAACTCAAAGGTCGGTAGATCGAAACTACCCGACGCTATTCTCTTTTCCTTTCCTTCTTTCTTTTCGTTCTTTCTTTTGCTCGTCTGCGCTGTTCACCGTTGGTCGTTGCCTGGCTGCTGCCGTTTGCTTCGGAGGTGAACCGCGACGCATCATATAGACTCGGCGTGTATAATGCACCGGCACCATCGCTGCTCATCCAAAGTGCAGCGGCATTCAACAGATGCAGATTCACGCTTTCGAGTGGATTCAGCAGCGACGACACATCGAGGGCCGAGGGTGTAGAGAAGCCAATTCCGACTCTGAATCTGACTCGGAGTCGGATCCAAATGGAAGGGGAGAGAGCGGGCTGGAATGGCTCGCTCGTGGCTGCAAATAACAAACTTGAATCAGGGAGGGGATGTATGTGACGTGAGCTGCAATGTAACAAATTTCATCGGCGGCGAGATGGCCGAGTTGGTCTAAGGCGCCAGATTAAGGCTCTGGTCTCTTCGGAGGCGTGGGTTCGAATCCCACTCTCGT